TTAGAGCCGCAGGTTATTCTATTCCTAGCGCATGTCTATATTTAGAGATCAAATCAATCACGATCAGTGTATATAGTCCTAGAATTCCGGGAGAATTAGGAATCAAGTTGTTTTTACTGAGGCATCTTTTACTTGAATTGCATACACTTTGCCTCTCACAGGTCAGGCTCCCAGTTACCTGACATAGACCCAGCCATCTATAGTAGTGGAAATACCCGAAATTGTGAAACGCGCTTGCCCGCGACACGGTGCTACGTCGGACGACTTCAGCCCTTTCACCCGCCTCCAAAGTGGCTAAGATGTAGCATCTATCGTGCTCAATGCCACCAAAAATTTGATCATGGTTGTAATACTGATCCGATCTGGCCTGACATGTATCCTCAGTCAGGACGTAGAAAAGCTACTAGCCTGTTCGACATGTCATCTGGTGGGTATGAGATGGATAGAGGGTCGCAGGCCGTATTATTTCCAAGGTTGTCTAGGAGTCTAGTAATAATGAGTGGTGGAAATGCTTGTTGTCATTGTGAGCTAAGAAGTGTATGGCAAATGAATGGCTCTGCTGTGCTTCGGTAGATTGGCACGGGCTCGAATGCTGTGGTGAGTTGCGGAGATGGCACGACGGATACTAAGCGTATCACTATGGCCCATGGGTAGTATTACGTATAAAACACGCACTAACACTAACAATGGCGACCTGTCGAGGAGTTCTCGATGCGCACTTCAACGATAGATAACGTAATCTAATGGATGGTGTGAAGATGATATTATTTGAATAGTTATCTCACTAGGCCTGGCAAGTGAAGAGGTTGGAGGGCAAGACTGAACACCTGTACGCGGTGTCCTCTACGAACCTGGGAGTGAGATATTCTCCCAGAGCCAAGTTCAGTCAAATTTCGCAATATCAAATAAGTTGGCCCACGAGGCAAAATTTCAAATTACTCCTCCACGTCGTTATTTCGCTCCCAACGAGTTTGAATCCTATCTTCGTCTCATCTAGTCTACAAGTACGACCAAGTACATCCTCATTCCAATGACCACACCGCTCTTCGACCTTCTCTGGCCTCAGCTGGTCACCAAATACACGCCCACGCCGATATTTATACCCGACGGAGGAAGCAAAGCGTGGAGCACAAATCTGAGAGATAGCTCTTTGGGATGGACGTGAGAGGGATTAGGACAAGTTTACAAGATGATGCGAAAAAAGGATATAACCTCGAAGGGCATGAGATTCCGAATTTTGGCAAGGAGTTTTTCGAATTGGGCTTTGTGCGCGCCAAGACTTCGCTTGCGAGAGTGCAGCTGACACTATAAAAACAAGCAAACGATGGAAGGTGTCGTGGTCCGCCTCCTGGTAGTGTTATCTGGTATGGTTTGAGTAGCCTGGGCACCTACTCCACTTGGGAAGGAGATATCTCAGACCATATTTCGCGCGGAGAAAAGTTGAAAGATGATGGAGGCATGTCTGGATAACTCAGGGTTTTTGAGACGTTCCCCTGGGTGGGTATTCACGGATGAGGGTTGACTTTGGGTGAAGAAAAAGCCACCATAACTTCGCAGTGGTACTTGCAAATGAAATCTGAGGCATGAGTGCTCTTCCTTAACGATGAATCATCTATTCTGTACTTTTCTTTGATATTGTGTCATAGCTAGATAGCTGCATACGCAATTAAAATCTGATGCAAAAAAAAAAAAAGTGAAGAGGTTGTAAGGTTCACGATCAGCGTCTGTGCACAAGCCCATATTTCCCACCCTTTCCTAATTTGGCATCCCTATATCAATGCTAGCCGGCTGGGAACATCCTGAATGATGGATAAACAATACAGCAGCATCCCGTGCTCCATCACTCTGTCTCTAAGCAGTTCAAACGAATCAGGTCGGAGGGCAAGGCTGAACACCTGTACGCGGTGTCCTCTACGAACCTGGGAGTGAAATATTCTCCCAAAGTCAAATTTCGCAATACTCGAGAAGTTGTCCCACGAGGCAATGATTCAATTTATTCCGCCACGTCAATATTTCACTCTCAACGAGCTCGACCCCTACTTAAGGCCCATCAAGTCTACAAGTACAACCTATTACATCCCTATCCCGATGACCACATCTCTCTTCGACTTTCTCTGGCCTCAGCTGGTCGCCGGATACATGCCAGAGGGAGCAAAGCGTGGCGCACAAATCTGGGAGATAATTCTTTGGGATTGGTGTGAGAGGATTCAGGACAAGTTGATAAGATGATGCAGAGGATTGGATACAGTCTCAACGGACGTGGAATTTTGAAATTTGGAAAGGAGTTTTTACAAATTGAGCTTTGTGCGTGCCAAGTTTTCGGCTGCGAGAGTGCGGGCGACACTATAAAAACTGCCATGGTTGGATGGTGCGGTGGTACATCGTCTTGGCCGGTCTGCCAAGTAGAGTCTGGATAGCTTGGACACATATCCCACTTAAGACAGTAGATCGCTGGTTCAAATCCGACAAAACACAACCACTTTTCTCGCGGCGCTGGCATGCTTGGATAACTAAAGGTTATGGAATATCCCTTTGGTGGGTACAAACGGAGGAGGGACGACTGTTTGTGTAAGCAAGCATACCTCATAGTGGTATTTGCAAATGAAATTCAAAGTATGAGTGTCTCTAACGTCAAAAGAGTCATCCCACATGTATACACAGCACCGGTCAAGTGTCATAGTTAAGTAGCTGAATACACATTAAAAGATTTTTTTAAAAAAAAGAAGCTGGTTGGGCGCAGGGCGTCGAGTCAGGGCAGCAAAAATTTTCCTTTATATTTTTGCTTTTCATTCATGTAAATTTCTGGCTATATAAAGCTAGCTTCAATGGTGGTTATAGGTCCTTCGGGAACATGAACGCGTGTCAAGCCTCCTGGGCATAGGGCTTTAGCCTGATACGTCAAATTACTCAAATCATCATCGACTGTTTTCAAATGACCCCGGAGCACCTTGCCGACACGAGGTGATGGGATTCGCTTACGGTGAGGAAGCCCGCTTTTCGCTGATGTGATTTGTCAACGATTCACTCGAAATAGAAAGCACTATCTCTCCGATGTATTGTTCGCCCTCTGTTGTAAAGGTAAGAGCTTACGGAGGTTAATTGGCAGAAGGTTTATGGATGATTATCAATGAATCAATGTGAACTGCTGATATATTTGATATTCAGAACTGTGAGGATTTAGGAGGTAGAAAGCGCTAATTATATACACATCTGAGGTAGCCAGACTCTCGCCTTATTTACCCAAAACAGTACCACGGAATATTCTAGTCTCCTCCATCTGGCAGTACAATCTAGAAACACTTTCTATACAGTGCTCCATTGTTCCTCTACTCATTATGGAGCCATCTGGAAAGTTCTTCCTTCACCCTCAGTGATCATTACCCTTGTGCATCGTAATCCTAGCCATCACCAGCACAACACCCTCTAATGTAGCGGTTGCTTTGTCGAGGACGTAAAGTGGAATGCCTAAGACATCTTTATCAGCAAAAGTCCAATTCCCATGAGCTAGGTAAATTATATAAATTACATGTAATAATCTCCTAGGTTAAGCTAGAAGTATTTTTCGACGCAGCCAATTCGTGGACGTTAGACTGATGAGTGAGGGTATTTATCACGTGAATGGTAGGGCTGGAATTGGTAGTGATGATTCTAGGGCGGCGGCTCAGGACCAGGTCCATGGTCCATGGTTGCTCGTTGTTGCAATCTATGATGAGAAGAGGTTTATGAGAGCCTGTCCATTTCCCATTGGCAGAGGCAGGGAACAGGAGGGAATTAATTTTCGGTTTTGGTAGCGGGATATCTCGACTAGAGAAGACTCATGAGCTCGCTGCTTCGAGAGCGAGCGAACGATTGGCCCAAGCAGTATCCGCGGTGCTAAGTCCATTTTTCGAGGCTGGCGCGGCGGGAATGGGGCCAAACTGCTTCATGCGAGTGCATAGTTGGGGAAGCGGTAGTGCTATGGTTATGTGGCCTCTTCAAAGCAGCGAGGGATTCTAGCGAGGCTCTCGTAGCAGTGACGTGTAGACTCCACCCAATAATCCGGCCATTGTTGAGCGGTGCTGGGAGAGGCGGGCCAGCCGGCGTGATGGTGTTGTGGCCGGTACCGTCTGCCTTCTTTTGAAGCTTGGCGTCTAGGCGCGTTGAGGGGAGAGGAATAGCGGGTTCCGTGGGTTGACGATGCTATGATGGCGTCGCTCGAGCGATACAGGCCACGATTTCGATTGTGGAGAGGAGGATGTGTCTGGAAGTCTCTCTGGCCCGGAGGGATATGGTTGGCGCATAGCTAGGAGATCTGATGGCCTGAGCTCCTGAGTCGCCCGGCGGTGGCTTCGAACAGCACCAGCACGACCTGAGTCAGCCGACTCGGCGATGGCCTAGCCAAGAAGAGGGGGCAGGTAGGCGGCGGCTTGGACCGAGCTCAATATGCCGGTCGGGCACGTGTTAGGGACTAGACACGGGCCGAGATGGCGGGCGCTCGTCGGGCCAACGCGGACGGCCCGCGCGCTGCGAATGAGTGGAAGAGACATTGTGCTGTGCCGTATCTGCCGGTAAGTCGAGACGGCTGCGTTATTGCATCAACCAGAGATGCCGCAGAGACATGGTGGGAGGCAAGAGACGCTCAGCAACAAACGGCGAGATCTATGACGCGAGCTGTCCAGCCTCCGGGGCTGATGAGCTGCTGGGACGATCGCTCATGGCATTGCGCATGAGCGTCGCTGACCTGCCATCGATGTCAGAGCCGGGGGCGGGGGGGGGCGGCGCTCCGTGGCTCCCCCGTTCCCCGACTTTCATGCCACGTCGGCCGCACCAGAGACGAGCCTGATTTCCCGGCGACGACCGAGTCGAAGGCTTTGCGTGCGCTCCCCAGCCTATATAGACCAGAGGGCGGCGGTCATGTCAGAACCTCACCCTCATCTTATCCGACTTGGCCACGTCTTCGAGTCCATTGTGCACTCTCGCCGTCCTCGATTTGCCCATCTCTCGTCTCTGAGTCCGCAAGCATGGCCTCGCTACCGCAGCGTGAACGCCGACCGTCCTTTGGGCCGACCGTCTACCACGACGAGGATGTGCACGTGAAGCGGCCGCAGCGTGTATACTACGAAGAGGTATCACGTGACCGAACGCGCCGTTCGTCTTCCATCAAGGCGCCCGCCGTCGCGCATTCGGAAAATACTCGCTACTTCGTCGAGCCGCTCGAGGCTTCGATGCACGGTGCGGCGCGGCCCATCTACGCCGACAGCCCTCACGACAGACCCTCGCAAGACGACGAAAAGGGATTCCTGGAGCGCCCATCGCTGACCGACGACGAGAGACCATACAAGGCCGAGTCCGAATTTCCGCGCAACACACCCTACGGCCAGCCGCGTCGCAGTGCCGTCCGCTACGCGCCGTCGCCTCATCCCGACTACGTCGTTACCGAGAAATCTCCGCTGTGGTGGGGTCGCGTGCGCCACAGCCTACGCGAGCCCTTTTCGGAATTCTTTGGCGTTTTTATTCTCGTCCTCTTCGGCGATGGGTGCGTCGATCACCGATAGCCTAGCCCCCCCCCCAAGATAGTGGCTGACAAGACACACAGTGCCATTGCCCAGGTCGTGCTAAGTAGGAATACGCGCGGAGACTGGCAGAGTATCTGCTGGGGCTGGGGGTGAGTCTCCATCCGTGTCGTAAGGCTCACGTGGCCTCGCTAACATCTTATTAGCCTTGGCGTCATGATCGGCGTCTACGTATCAGGGGTAGGCATCCCCACATGCACACGCCCCCCCCCCCGGTATCAGCGGCTAAGTCGAGTTACAGATTAGCGGCTCCAACATCAACCCGGCCGTCACCCTCACTAACTGGTATGTGTGCCTTTGTTTTCTGAGACTCTCCCCGCCGCTTGTAGCCCGCGCTGACTCAGTGACGAGTGTCTTTCGCAAACAAGCCTGGAGAAAGCTGCCCGTCTATGCCGCGGCGCAAATCCTTGGTGCATTCACGGCCGCTGGCGTCATCTACGGTGAGTTTAGGGTCACGTGGCGTGCGACTTGGCTAATGGGCGAGTAGCAAACTACAAATCTGCTATTGATGCCTTTGAGGGCGGGCCGGGCGTGCGAACGGTGCCGGGATATAGTCCCAATGCGACGGCCGGCATCTTCGCCACCTACCCGCAGCCGTTTATGAGTCGCACGGGCGAGTTCTTTAGCGAGTTCCTCTGCGCCGCCATCCTCATGTTCTGCATCTACATGCTGCAGGACACGAAGAACATGGGCGCCGGGAAGCTGCTGCCTCTCGCCCTCTTCTTCGTTGTCTTCGGCATCGGCGCCTGCTTCGGCTGGGAGACGGGCTTTGCCATTAACATGGCGCGCGACTTTGGCCCGCGCCTCATGACCTACTGTCTAGGCTACGGGCCCAAGGTCTGGACGGCGAGCTCCAATTACTTTTGGATCCCCATGGTCGCGCCCTTCCTCGGCTGTCTCTTCGGCGCCTGGATACATGATCTCTTCCTCTTCACCGGTAAGCCTCCCGTCGACTCTCCCTCTCTCCCGCCCGCCCGCTAACCCGCCCAGGCGAGTCTCCCGTCAATACGCCGTGGATGGGCCTGCGCCAGCTCGTGCGTCCGCGTCAGGCCCACCACAGCCCCGTCTGAGTGCATGTTTGGGCCGTTAGGAAAAGTTGATGTCGCATTGCCGCAGATTCGGGGTGCAGTGTGGGAGTTGGATCTGGTGTTTTGGTGTTATTGAGCGGTCTCTTTACGTAGAACCATTGACCGGTGTGTCGCGCGCGCGCATCCCTCTTAGTTCCAGAATATATATTTTTTATTCCATCACACTCTCCCGTGACGCCAACCCCGTGACTCACTCCGTCTGCCGCCCGGCCCGAGTTTAAGCACATCTGGCTGCGAGGGGCCGTACACTGGACAACAAGCCGCTTATCCCCGTCCCCACTACGAGAACCATTTTCAGCCCGAGTCATATCGCTTCTTAGTCGTGTCCACCACCACTGCAGAGAAAGTTCATCTCGATCTTCAAAGTCGCCAGGTATCTAACACCTGTCTCGCCCAACACTCGACCGCATCTCTCGCTCTGCTCATGCCCGACATGACCAAAGCTCTTGTGGCTTCCGTTTGGCCGCTACTTGCGGTGAAGATGCGACTAAACCATCTGGGCAAACCAACTCCTGAATGGTCCTCGCGAATGATATTCAGACTAAAAGTACGTCTTACGTCAAGAGTCATCCAACATGTGCACAAGATAACTGCATGCACAATGAGCGCTTGAAAAAAGAACCCGATAAAGCTGGCCTTTATTTAAGCCATGGGGTTCCCTTGGTCTCATCCCTAATTCCAAAAGAGTCATCCATTATGTGTCATAGCTAGAAAGCTGAATACAAGTTAAATGATGTAAAAAAATAGACATCCCTGGCTCTCCGAGCCCCGTTGTTATGATACCTCTACCTGTGTACTCACCAACAAACGATCGACTGTTAGACTCACCATGGGCAGTGCAAAGCTCTATCACCATGGAGGACTACTTGAAGGAATTGGAGTGGCAGAGTCTGCAACTCCACCAAAGACAAGACCCGATGCGGCTGTAGGCAGCCTGGAAAATACCCTCAGAGACCTAAACCAGGTTGGCGCGTCGTGCAGCTCATCAGCGCAGGCACGACATATATATCATGAGTTCACGCCTGCCCAAGACGTGTTTGTTGCTCCACGAGGCATCCACAACCCATCACATCCTTACGTTATTACCTCGTTGTAAATCATCAAAGCTCCGTTTGGCCTCTAATTTAGCAAATCTAACTACTCCTTTACTACTCATAATGAGTTCAACAGCCAATAGTATAAGAAGCTTATGAACTTCTCATCTCAATTCTCCTTGTCTTTGAAGAGCCCTCATTTTAATTTTCCATTTCTCTTGATTTAGGCAGCGATGTAAATAACTTATCACCAATTTCACAGCAACAATATTTTCCTTGACCAGTGTGACCAGTGTGACCAAGTACTTTCTAAGCTTCGTCTTACGATCTTGCAAGGTCCTCTCGACATTATTGTTCTCTAGCTGAGCCACGTTGGCAACCATCAGTCTGCCTTAAGCTTCTAAAAATGACTCGGTCACACTCGATGGGGCCTTCCTCCACTTGTGCTTCCATGGACGAGCGTTCATCAAGTCTAGTCACTCTCCTTTGGCTCGCAAGCGTCGATGCACGTCCCTTGAATCATAGCCGGAACGTGGCATAACTAGTGCAGGGTAATGCTTGCAAGTAGCTAAAGTTTCAGGTGATGCACCGATTGATTCGTAACGAACTCAACAGTTAAGAGTTACTGATAAGAGTTTTATTTTGCACTCGTCAAATGTTTAAACTTTTCCACAGCCCATAATCCCTCTTTTCTTTGCATTGATGTCACCATGGCACTCTTTCGTTTTGCTATGCTTCGAGCCTCTAGTGCCTATCTTCAGCAGGCAAAGTATTTATTTAGGACCAAGTAATGCTTGATACTGGACTTCCGACTTGCTAGGCTAGCAGTAGAGCCCGCCGGTTGCTAGGATATAGCTAACGCGAGAATATTTTTACTGAATCGTCAAGGTTGACTTGGGTCGGCGTCTCCAACACTCATCACACACTAACCAGATTATGCAGTTTGGTGACAACCTGTGACGCTGAAGAATATGTGTAATGTAGCACAAATCCAAACAAATTGACATATTGGTGCAGAGTCGAAGCTCTCCGCCAATCCCAGCTCTAGAGGTTAAAGAGATGGGGAAGCGAAAAGATATTAGATTACAGCCCTCAACTAGTTAGCCGCGAAAATTAAAGATGTTCATGTAGACTGTAGAATTATCATGAATCAATGATAGGAATTCCCTTAGTTCGATACGGCGAAGGCCGAGTGGTGGGCTGCATAGAGTTCGTTTGGCGAAAGTATCGAGAGGGAGGGTGCGGCTCGCATGTTGGAGATGAACCCCACCCGAAATGGAAACGGGCGTTCTTCTCGCGTGTACACCTATGACAATCTCCAACCCAAGTTGCGGGGTCAAGATGAATCGGTGAAGATCCGATCCCATGCAAGAGAAGGGTAGCAAAATGTACGAGCCTCCTGCCTTCCCGATGAATCAGTCGGGGTACGCAGAAACCTTGACTCAAATTATCCACGGAGAATAGCAACTTATCTCCTTCCATCTCTCACATCACTTGGACTACAAAATAGCAACGGCTTCCCTGAAACCTTTGATACCCACGATCCTCACAATACAAAGCTGGACTCATTTCGTGTATTCATTTCTCGTCGAGAAAACCTTTTCTCTGCCTCAACTTCATAGTTTTCCATCAAGATCGGAATTTCCGCCATGGTGCTCTCCAGCCGAAATGTCCATGAAGCCGGCATACCAATTTATGATAATCAAATATGCGTAGTTATGGTTGGTCTACCAGCGAGGGGAAAGTCCTTGATTGCTCAAAAAGGTACTTTATGCCACGGCTTCTTCCTCATATGCTACATCTGACTAACCGCTTGTCAGCCTGTAGATATCTCAGGTGGCTCTCGGTTGATGCCAAGGTCTTCAATGTCGGGTGCTACCGTCGCAAGCAGGCGGCAAAACCTCCAGCTTCCTTTTTTGATGTCAACAATCCTGAAGGCGAACGTATGCGCCGTGCTGCCGCCGAGGAGGCCATGAAGGAAATGCTGCTTTGGTTTCAGGGAGGTGGAACAATCGCCTTTTTCGACGCTACAAATAGCTCCAAGTCGCGCAGGCAATGGATTAAGAACGAGTGTGATGCCAATGGAATCGAGACTCTATACGTAGAGAGTAAGTGCGATGATGAGGAACTTATCATGAGTAATATTCTCGAAGTAAAAACGACCTCGCCTGATTATGATGGTCAAGACCCAGAGGAAGCGGCAAGAGATTTTCGTGATCGAATTTCCAACTATGAGAAGGTCTACGAAACAATCGGGGAAAGTGAAAACCATCTAACATACGTCAAAATTTTGAATGTGGGCAGGCAAGTAATCATTAACCTAATCCAAGATTACTTGCAGAGTAGGGTGGTATACTTCATGATGAACCTACACATCAAGCGCAGGTCAATTTGGCTATCGCGCGTAAGCCCCCCCGGAAAGCTTCCAGGTGAGAGCTAACCGTTGTAGCACGGAGAATCCCAGTGGAATGTTCTAGGAAAGATAGGTGGAGACGCAGAATTATCAGCCCGTGGCGAAGAGTACGCTCGTTTACTCCCAACGCTAGTCGATAAATCATTACAGGTATATCAGCAGGCTCATTATAATCGAACCTATGCTTACCATGCTCTTCAGGGAGAAGAACATCCTCTAACTATCTGGACATCAACTCTCAAGCGTACTATAGCAACTGCTCGACATCTTCCGGTAGCCTACAACCAGCTTCAGTGGAAAGCCCTCGATGAGCTCGATTCAGGCGTATGCGATAATATGACCTATGCCGAAATCAAGGAAGAGTTTCCCGAAGACTTTGAAGCTCGAGATCATGACAAGTACAACTACCGTTATAGAGGTGGAGAATCGTGAGTAATTTTGACGCGCCTAGTTTCACGGGTCAACATACGCACGAGCTAAATGGGTTTTTTAGGTATCGGGATATTGTGACTCGATTAGAGCCAATTATTATGGAGCTCGAGCGTTCGGAGAACATTCTCATTGTAACTCATCAAGCCATCCTTCGCTGCATCTATGCCTACTTTATGAACAAGGACCATGTCAAATCTCCTTGGATGAACGTCCCGCTGCATACACTTATAAAGCTCACTCCAAACGCCTACGGTTGTGAGGTGGAGTTATTTAAGACTGATATCGCCGCTGTGTCTACATGGAGGGGTAAAGGCAGTGTTGCTAAGCACGAAGATCCTACCGAGGGCACAGTCACAATGGGTGTTCATGCTGAAGTCGAAGCTGATGCCGCGACCGAACCCAAGCCCCCAACCAAAAATCTAGCAAATATTAGCCTGGATGATATTAAAGAGGAACAATAGATAAAACTCTACATTTGTACGCAAGCGAGGCGCTAATGCTAACGAAAATTTCATTAATTTGGGGCGTTTCTCGTTGTTTGTCCATTAGCGATAGGACTCATAGACATTTATTAATAAAAGGTATATTGCAGGCGCAAGTAGCATTGCATAACAGACAAGAGCTAGATATGTTTCAGTCCCCGCAGGCAGGATTAATGGCTCAGCTTAAAGGCTACATTGGGTTGTCGTTTGGAGGTGGTGTCGTAGTCTCCGTCTACAAGTTGCAGACGTGTAAGACCGTGTTGTTCGAGCATCCTTGGTTCTGTTAGGCCCGTCATCACTGTTTGGGGGTTTACGGAACGGTTGCGGTACCCTCTTCCTCAGTCCGTTCACTCGTCTATGTAAAATATAAAGTAGATAACAGGATCAGGGATCATGGGTTGCGCGCCAAGAAATAGCTAGGATCAATCCTCGTCATCACTAGACGTTTGATTTTGCCACAAGATCATTATCTACTGGCATGCAAATGCTCCCAGCCGGCCATAATGCATAAGAGATTATAAAACGCCTCCCATGCCCCCAGTGTTTCCTCAGGCCGTATTGTAAGCCCAGTGTTTCACGAAAATTCTATTATACACACCAACATCCACAGATGTTTGCCCGAACCAGTCCCGAGACAGGATCCTAGCTTGCAGTAAGTTCTGCAATGCGCCGTTCGATCTCTGGAACCTGGCGTAGATGCATTTCGAGCTCCTCTTTCTCGTCTTCAAGCTTTAGTCGCCGCTCCGCATCGAGATGAGTAAAGACATAACTCCCCTGCCCATTGAACTGTAGGACCATGTTGTGGTATTTCCAGAGGCTTCTACGGTGAGATACTGTCATTAGGGTGATCCCCAATCGCTTGACGTGCTCATACATGACTTTTTCCATCTCCAGTGTTACCGAAGATGTACATTCGTCAAGAATTGCGTACTTGGGGCGATTGTAGAAGAGTCTTGCCATCGCCACGCGCTGCTGTAGACCACCACTCAGCACATCTCGCCATTCTGCCTCAGCATCCCAGCCTTGGGGAAAACTTGCAACCAAATGATCGAGGTCCAGTATTTTCATAATATCCGAGAGGTCATTATCCGTAACGCCCTTGCTACGCATGTCGCGCAGCGAATCTGGATAAATGATTTGCTGGCGGAGGGAACCAGCCGAGAGGTATGGTCGTTGAGGAACATAAAAGACCTGTGATAGGGGGGGCTTGCGGACCGTACCACCGTAGACGGGCCAAAGACCTCCAAGGATACGAAAGAGAGATGATTTGCCACAACCATTAGGACCAAGAACCAAAAGATGTGTACCGGGCTTCATGGAGAATGAAAGAGCCGGCACAAGCACCGAGCCTCCAGGAGTAAGTATTGGCCTATCTCGCATTAGTTGGCTTTCAGATTTTTGTATGATACATACACATCAACAAATTCAATATCATCACTTTCGATTACGGTCCCCCTATTCTTCATCATCTGCGCCAGGTCGGTAGCACTGGAATCAGATACCAATGTTTTTTGGTAGCGTTCCTCCTTTATTTCAGACATTACCTCAATAAGTGAAGCTACGCGCGAAGTATATCCAGCAAGCTCAGTGATACCTTTGTAGGAAAACATGACGCGCCCAAATGCATCAGAGCTAGAGAGAAGTAGTCGACGGTTTGTCACAAAGCTTTCTGATCTATCTCCCATAGTTTGAGATTTGGATCCAGGAATCCTAAAGAAAACGGGCACGCTGCAGAGCAGAAGGCCTAATGCTCCCCACACATATTTGATAATAAAGTCCTATGATTGCGTTAGAAAGGCTTGTAGAGACACTTGAAGAACATACTTCAACCACTCCAAACGTTAGGCGCCGCCTGAGCATATAGTTGACGTGTTTGATTAATGTAAAGTAGCCTTTATTCAACGCGTCTTTTTCCGTCTCATGACCATGGTATAGGGCAATCTCTTCACTGTAGTCTATGACTCTTGAATGCTCAAAGCGAAATTCACCTTCTAATCGCGCCTCATCCGCTACAAATTTTCCGAAAGGCGGAGTCAGCGCACGCATTAAATTTGCCGATAATTGGACGAGAAGTGACATGAAGAATAATCCTGTGCGAGTTAGAGCTTTCTGCTGAAATTTGAGTGTACTGACCTTCTCCGCCAACACTTTTTGACAGGTAATAGTTGTAGATCAACATATCTAAAGTTGGTTTGGCTAAATTGCCGTACAGTTGGGCGAGACTGCTAGAAAATTTGCTGATATCAACTGTGATTAATTGATCTGCATTCTTTATTCGATCGTCTAGGGCACTAAGTGAGTAGAAAGTCATATTGCTCAGGTATTCATTGTGGATATGGTTCGTCAGGCGTGTTCGGTATCGCAGGGAGAGTTGACATTGATGGTATGAGAGCTATAAGTGTCAGCGAATTTCTCGACGTTCACTTTTATAGATCACTTGCCATAGAATTTGTAAATGTGGCAGGTACAGCAATGGTCATCCACCAAAAGATTCCGATCAAGAAATCTCGCCCCTTGCCTCTCACAAGACTACTGACAAGCGCACCGTCCATGGCGGCAACCTTGAGCGAAATTAGGGTTCTGATTACCAAGAACATACTATGACTCAGTAATAATCGCATCTCTTTGCTACGCCATCCAGGTATACAAATTTTGAGAAGGCGGTATAAATTGCGGAAGAACTCGCGGTTAAGCTCAACCTTGGATCGGGAGGCTGGATCTCCATTTCCCAAGGGAATGTAATTATATTTTCGTGATAGCTGCGAAAGAGCTGCCGCCTTTTGCTCTGAGATGGCAGCGCGTATTCGATTGAGGAGGGCGAAGAAGAGAGTCAAGTAGACAAGGCGAGAGATTTTGGTGCGATACCGTAGGTAAAAGATGATGAGTCGGAATAAGAGGAGCTTGAACTTCTGGCGAGAGGGACGAAGGTAGGAGAAGATAACGAGCTTGGATTGCGCGGCCATGATCGAGCAGGCTGGATTTTGTTGCGCGGACCGAGAGCGGTGTATGGTAGATAGAAACGAAGGCACTTGCTTCGGCAGGACGGGATAACGACTATGGCGGCCTCACCATGGCATTTCGAAGATTACTTTCTCGATGACGGGAAATTTTTCTGGTGTCGGCGCGATGATCGAGTTGCGGCACCCGGTTCCAACGAAATCAGAGAACACGTGACACTGTAGGCCACCTGCGTACGTAAAGTGTAAATGAATCGGAGGGAAAAGATGAGCTAGGAGTACGAATGGGTAACAGGTGATTGTTAATGTTGAAAGAGCCCGTCTGCATCCAAACATGAGGTTTGAGTGATTCCAATAATAGTATCTCATGAGAGACCTAGTCCTAATACGACGCCAAGCCGATTCTACCGGGCTGGCTGAGGCACTTGCCAGATTCGCGAGCCTCTGGTGCTTTTTGGAAGAAAAGAATACAGGAATAGCCGAACATGAGCTGCAGAAGGTCTTGTTGTTACCCTCGACTGTACACGAGTCCGGTTCGGAAGATGAAGAATTACTGTATTTCCCCAGCCAGGAGATGATCCGTACCAGGATATCGGAGATTTTTGAGGATCAAAAACTCTATTCCTACTCGCGGTGCCCAGACCGATCCTCCAGTTTCCGCCATAGCGTTGTGTGTCCAGGTCACGGGACACTTCGTGGAGAAGATTAGTGAGAATCACATTACATAATCATTAATTAACGTTTGTTTTTTTTTTTTTTATTATATTAAAGTCCTAAGCTAAAGCTCTAGATCCACTATCGGTACAAGATTGGTGGAGCCGGCGAGTATCACTGCTAACAGGCCCAACTCATTCCAACCGCGAGACCCGCTACAGAAAAAGTAGGAAGTAAATTATAACTCAGAAAACACCACCTACTCCGACTCCGAAATCGAGACTCCATCCTTCAACCCTAAATTCAAGTACATAAAAGATTTCCTCAGAGAAACGACACTTCTCGCATCGATTCCTTTCGTGTCATTCGTTGTGGCAATGACTAGTTTATCTGATCCCCACTGAGAGCAGTGGATGAGTGAGCAGGTCGTCTATCAAAACAGCCGATTTCCTGCGCAAAATTTTTGAAGCTATCGTGGCACTTGGGCCCGAGAAGCTTTTTGATAAAGTCAGCGTGGGATATTGACTTTCTGAGCCTACGCGTTTGTTGTGCGTGGCGGCTACAGTGGATAAAGTGGGTTGGAGTAGTTTCCTTCCCGCAAGAGCACTCCATGGGAGCGTATGGATTATTAAAACGGTGATGGTATGCCGCAAAATTGCCGTGACCCGTTCGTGCTGCAATTAGTGCCCGGAGCAGGTGCCTAGAGAGAGACAGTTCGGGTGGTTTGCGTCTCCGCACCTGTGGGTCGAGTTGGCGGTATTGAGGCGGACAGGCCTCTTCCCACCAGTCGTTTAGCAGCCTCTGTCGTCTGCGATTCATGAGAACACGTAGATATGCCAGAGTACATGATCCGGGTGGTGTCTCCTGGCTAGGTAACTCTCGGAGTGCGGCACGGGCAATGGTGTCTGCCTCCTCGTTCCCTTGAATCCCTGCGTGCCCTGGCACCCATTTTACCAATACTTTTGCCAGAATTTCTCAAATTGTGCGTTTGTTTGTTTGTTCATTAACGTGCTAGGTGAAGTAACAACCGTCGCACTCCTACTGGAGCTTGAGTACGAGTGGGGTCGGGCCGGATCAGGTTAACTACCGTGCAGTGCAAATGCCTCGTCCCACCTAAATGACCGGAACCATGCCAAAATGCATCTATGTGTTGAACCATGACGAATTTGGCAGCCCAGAATTGAAAACAAGACAAAAACTTTCCCGCGAAACCCCGCATTACAAAAGAAAAACTTCAACAATCTCCCTTCCATCGTTCCGCCTCAGCCACCACGCGCCTGAGCCTCGATTCCAATCTCTCTGTCCATGCCAAACCACCTAGGCCTTTGATCTATCACCTCAGAGTCACAGGTATCCCTGCCATCCCCCGACTAGCCTCCGCGTATATTCCACTCTCCTGGACGTAGTCCCTGAACAGCTGCCATCCCCTTGATCCAAGCATTGTTTCCAGAGCCGGCGCCCTACGCTTTCCGCTTTTAAGCCGCCATGTTTCCAGTGCTTTTCGACACTGGACAAGGTGACCAATTGATTTTTCCCTCCCACACTCGCAGTTAAGTGTAGCGTCAGCGTGATTGAGGCGGCGATGATATGCCGCAAAGTCTCCATGTCCGGTTCGGGCAGCGATCAAGCGTGCGAAGACCGCTCTAGGTAGCGCTAGCTCTGGCGGTTTCTTGCGCCGCATCTCGAGTTCAAGATCGGCGTAGTGTTTGGGGCGATTCGAGTGCCACCAGTCCGTCAACATCTGCCTGGCTACTTCACGGGCTTTCCGTCCTGATGAGGCGAGGGTCATCACACCATGTGTCGTCCTAGAGTTGTCCAGCGAGTTAAGCTCTCTTCGAGCGAGTTCATCGGCGATTTCATTTCCTGCCAGCCCTTCGTGGCCCGGGATCCATCCTATTTTTACAGGTGCGGCTGATCCCGCGGCCAGTTTCACGAACTTTGGAACACGCCAGGATGATGAGCCTGTTGTTCCCGTCAGTAAAGCCTGAACAGCCGCGGAATTATCGAGCAGGATATAGATAGCGCTGCGTCCTCGATCTCGATTACTGGCAGTAATTGCTTCTATAGCGGCCAAAGCTCCATGAACCTCCGCGTCGTAGACCTCCGCGTTGGTAATTTTACCTGAGCCGCTTTGCTCGATTGCCGTGCCTGTGCCGCTGATAAAGGTCACAAAGGCCCATGACACTCTGTCGGTTGAAGCCCCAGAACCATCACTGTAAACGCAGAGACAGTCAGGTTGGAGTGTATGTAGACACTCTCTAATGAACTTGGCAGCCTCTTTCTTGCTTGTCCAGCAGGAAATTGGCTGAGGGGGGACCGGAGGTCGGAGCGGTGGAGGTAGTTCAGCCTCTGGCAGAAGTCGATACATCCTCTGGACCCTTGAATCATGAGCTCTGTCCAGACCAAGTTTGGTCAATAACTTTGCACTGTCTCTTACATGAATTTCGCGCGACACCCCGATAGGTTTCCCTGGTTGGTCCCGGGTACCAGGATTCCGCTGCGTGCATCGCGATTGGCAGGACTACCGTGCGGATCACTGTGGTTAGTAGGTCGGGCCTTGGTCCCTGGGTGCACTGAGTGAGCCGTCGGAAGTGTTGCACTAGCCGCATTGCTTTACTGGTCCACTTTGCGACGTGGCTTTCGAAGGTCAGACCGCGATCAAGGTGTACTCCGAGCCATCGGATATCGTCGGATGCTTGTACATCGCGAGTGCCTACCCTTATAGCCGGAAGATCGTGAGCCCTGGATCTGGGGCCGACGAAGTAGACTACTTCGGCCTTATCTTGGTCGAAAGAGACGGCATTTTCAGCAGCCCACCCTAGGACTGCATCGACTTCTCTCTGGACAGCTGCTGCGGCTTCGTTCGGTGTTGAGCCTATGCCGAGGATAGCAACATCATCTGCATAGCCGAATCTCCAACTACTGCCCCCCACGACTTCGGCCACGTAAAGGAGGAAGAGAATTGGGGATAAAGGAGATCCTTGTGGCAGCCCGCATTCCAGGTGAATTGGGTCTGTTACTCCATCCTCGTGTCTGACACGGGCAGATAGTTCTTTCAGGAAAGACTTTATCCAAATGATAGCTGGTTTCGGCCACTCAACTTTATTCATCCTTTACAGCAGTCGTCCGTGTAGTACAGCGTCAAATGCACCCTGTACGTCCAGAGTGACAAGAACTGCTTTCTTCTGCCTCTTCATTGCATGCTCCACATCGTGGATAACGCATGAGACAAGGTCGTTTGCGGATTTGCCGGAGAGTGCTCCAAAAAGCTGCTGCGGCACAGCCTTGTGCGAAAGGGCGGTAAATGTCATGCGCCTTGCGACTAGTCTCTCAAGACCTTTGCCGAGAGAGGATAGCATTGCGATGGGTCTCCATCCCTTAGCTTTACTGAGATTACGGCCAGACTTGGGGAGAAGAATTACTTCCGCTAGCTTGAATGCCTTCGGGAAGTGGTTCAGTCGAAGTGAGCCCTCAAAGAGTACTCTCACTGCTTGTCCAATTGACGGCCAGGCTGTCCTAAGAAGACGAACAGAAATTGCGTCTGCTCCAGGGGCTTTATTCTGGCAGGCCGTTGTGACCCACTTGGCTTCTTCATCAGTGACGCTTGAGACCCATGGAAGGTTTCCGCGTCCTGGCTCGAGGTGTTCGGTGTCCACGTCGTTTTGGCTAGTGAACCGGCTGAGAAGGAGATCGCGCAATAAAAGTGCACGCTTTCCTGGATCCGATACAAAACCATCCGGAGTTTGGAGTGGTGGAGTAGTAGATGTAGATTGCGGCTTTGCACAACGTGCCATCCGATACATGTCGACGTCAATTGTGGCTTCGGAGAATTTCCGCCGCCAGTACTGGCGTTTCGCACTTCTGACTATGCGACGGAAATCTTTTCTGCTCTCTTCGTCCCTGAATATCCTGTATTCGCGTTTGGCTTGTGCGCACTCTATCGTCCACCAAGGTGCCGTCCTACCCTTCTTCGCACTCCCGCGTCTTCCGGTAGCCCTAATTGCATCGCTAATGGTTTGGACCAGCTTATCAGCGAGGTTGCCTACCGCACTTATTGAGTCCATAGGCTGCATCCCTATTCCATGGGCCCACCTACCTAGTACCTTGGCGAAGTCTTCGAGGGCGTCGTCTGTCACTCGTACCGGTTGACTAGTTTTGATTACAGCTCTGGCTTTCGAGTTTGGACGGGGAACGTCTCCCGCAAGAGTTCTGTGATCCGATGTCGAGTCAAGCTCTATCGAGACATCTGCAAGGGCACCAGCGTTAGACCAGACCAGGTCGAGTGTGTTTTCAAAGTCGTGTGTCGGGACGCCCGGTGTGGAAGATAGGTCCATATCATTAATTAGCGTGCT